TCCTGTTTCATATAATTTGCAATCTTTTAAGTCGTCAGTCAATCGTTATCTTGCTCGACAATCTTCACCTTTTCTCCTTCAGTAACTTTCAACACTAAGTAGTGGTTGTTTACAGCTTCGTTGGAAGCGAAGATGTTTAAAATATATATATATATATATATATATATATATATATATATATATATATATATATATATATATATATATATATATATATATATATATATATATATATATAATTGAAATAAAAAATCTTAATAATTGGTTAATAACAAATTTATTAAATTTGTGTGGTATATCAAACGAAAGAGAAGATCGCAAAAAATTGTTAAAATATAAAAATAAAACTTGTTACAAAAAACGATAAATTTATATATATATATATATATATATATATATATATATATATATATATATATATATATATATATATATATATATATATATATATATATATATATATATATATATATATATATATATATATATATATATATATATGTATAATCTATTGAAAGCAACAGTAATGCAAGAATTTGTACACAGTCTGGCAATGATGTCGGTCAAACAAGATATCGTCTAGTTTCTGCACTATTTGCAAAAAATTTAAACTTCTATCAAACACAAAAAGTTGATTTTTTTTTTTGAAACCTTCATGAATGTGTAATTTGCTAGTGTGTGGAACTTGCTGGTATGAAAAATCCAATATCCGCGGTATAATTGACAAACAATGGTAATTCACCTTTTGATTTAATCTCCATAAAAATTCACCTTTTGATTTAATCTCCATAAAAATATCTCATATCTAAAAAACGGATGTGCAGATATCGGAGGTGTAGATGGAAATGAAATATTGACATAAGGTAAAACGAAACAAATTCAAGACTTAATAAAGAAAATAAATCATTTTATACTGTTTGGAACATTTATTAAAATAATTTAGATTTTATCAAAGCTTGCAAAATACAAGTTTTATGACCTTAAATTGAAATAATTTTTTTTAATTTCCTTTAAAAGGCATACAAATCAATACCTAAAAAAGTCATAACTTTTTTTTAGCTAACTTTTTAAACAATGTTTATGTTAAATAATCATAATTAACAGTTTAAAAATGTATGATGAAAATGTAAAGGTTTGTGTTTCAAAAATTCTCTAAAGAATTTCCTAAGAAAAATTTTTAATATAAAATTATAACATGCTAAAATTTAAAAGTAGCACAAAATTTTGTTTTTGTTAAACACGCAAAGTTTTAGTTTGTTAAACACTATAACTTTGCGTGACTATGTAAGTTTTACCATGGAAGTTAGATGATATTTCGTCTGACTTTTTTCTCGTGAAGTTTGGGAAATCAGACGAGAAAACTTAGGTTATTTAAAAAAATTAAAAATGGCGAAAAATATTTACGCTTAGCAAGTTTAAGGACGGGGGTAATAAACTTCTTAAAAAAACAATTATCAACCATTTTCAACAAATTTAAGATACGTCTAATATATTTTGTTAATCCGTATTTTTAACTTTCTAACTAAAAAAAGACAATTAATGATTAAAAAGATTATTAATTTTTTTTCTTACTCATAAGTAGTGGTCAAATTCAGTCAGATCATCTTCAAGTTTAATTTATTAAATTCAAACATTTTGTTTTGCTTTTTATATACTCATAAGTTTTGGTTTACTTTTATATTGCAACAACTTTTTTAATGGTTATTTAAGGACATTTACGGAGGATTTTATTTTTTAAGGATATTTAAGGTTTTTAAGGAGGTGTGGGAACCCTGTGGTATCCAGTTTTTAATAAATGGAGGATAATTTGTTTGATTTTCAATGCAATTATCACAATGTTCAATGCTTTTAAAAAAAAAAAAATTTTACCATTGCCAAAAAAAAGGGGACAACAACCTTATGAGGTTTTCTTACTTCCTAATTCATTAGGCGAGGGCATTTTATGTCTCCGTGATATCACACAAAAGTATTCATCCTATGATAATGGTTCTATGAAAAATAATCTATAGGATAATAAGGGAAAAATAACAGAAGCTGGCCTACATATAGAAACTTTATAAATGAAAAACTAATATGTTTAAAAAACAATTTATCATTGTATTTGTAAAATATGCTATACAAATGTAAAAAGAACATTAGCAAAATACAAAAAAATATAAATGCCATCTCAAGAGGTCGTGAAATTCTTAATGAAAACTCACAAAAAATATTGGTATCTACACCAACAGCAGAAGAAACGAATAGTAGAATATTTTCGAATAAAAAAATGAAGCTTGATTAAATTTAGAGGTTGTTTATATTTTTGTTTTGTATTATTAGACTTTTTCATCATTAAAATCTGTTTTGGAATGAAATTGAATGTATGGTCTATCAAGATAGCTTTTATATTTTACACCTTTTTACCTTGTTTTTTTTGTAAGTACTAATAAATTAATTTTACATCAGTCATAAAAAAGACTAAAGTTCTTTTAGCTGAATACGTATTCAAAAGAATATCTTGAACAACTGGGTAAAAAAATTTCTCTGGATCTGGTATTTAATATTTCTTCTTTCTGATGTAGATGATATAATAACTAAATTATGCATACAAAGATTATCAATAATGGTAGCTTAGCTGGTTAGAGCACTGTTAAAAGTTCGGGATAGCTCAGTTGGTTAAAGCACTGTTATAAGTTCAGAATAATTACGATGTTTCCTTCTCGACTAGTAAATAAATAATCTAGTCGAGTAAATAATAATTATCGTTTACCATTTTTGTTTAGTTGCAGTTGCTATCAATACCATTTTTGGAATCCTTTTAGGGACAAGTGATCACAATTCTGAGTCTATTATCATAAGACAAAAATACATCTGACTATGTACTTGAACTTCCCCTATAAAAATTACAGACAAATAAGGTATAAACAGAATCATGTAAATCACAAGATTTTGCTCATACAATGCTATAGGTAATGTATTTTTTCTTTCAATGAGCGAAAGGTTTTAATTTTAAAATAATTTTATATATAAAAAGGAGGTCTGACATTAAACAAGCAAATTTATTTATATAACAAAATCGCTTACCACTTTTTCTCACAGTGGCTTTCGTCAGTTGCAATTGCACTAAGTTTCTGATTAAAAGCAGAGTCATTGACAATTGATTAATAAGTTGTTACAATGGGTTCAGGTGAACAAAATATTACATTTGTTTCATTGTAATTTATTTATAAAAAAAATAGTATCTACTTTTAAACAATAAATAACACTCCATAATTCAAAAAAAAAATTATTCGAGGCATGTCGAAACTCAATATCAGAATATTTGCTAATAAAGGCTTAACGCATTTAGAATTAATAATGAAATATCAAAATATCATAATAATGAAATATTATAACTATCTAAATGCATTTAGCATTAAAAATTTCTCAACAAGTGATTAATTGTTTTGCATTCACTAAAAAATATTTTACATTTTTTCTACAGAAAATTAAAATCAAAATTCCAAAGTTTATGAACAACATTTCATATAAAAATGTATAATTTCTCAGGGTAATTACCCAGCAAAAACTAGACCTTTTCTAGAAAAATGGAAAACTTTATTTGTTAACTAAAACAATGTATAATAATGATTATTATTACCTCTGTTTGATCATCTTTTTTATTTCTTTTCTTTGTTGATTATGCTTAAAAAAGCTACTTTGATTTCCTTTTTAGTAAAAAGTTTTTACTAAGAATTTTTTCTTGATTTTTCATTAAACTCAAACGCGGAGAAACAACTAAAACTTAATTATTGCACAACTTAAGTTTATATTCATATCGAATACTATCAGGTGCTTGTCCTTTTCTTAATAAGTTTAAAGTGAAGGTAAAACATCGGAACACAATAGATTTTTTACTGCCCGTTGGTTTGCAAACAAAGCAGTCTATCAGATATATCTAGAGATATATCTCTGCGATTGCTGAGAGCTTTTAAAGCTTCTTTTTGGTATTCCTTCAAAAATTTAATACAAAATAAGTCACAAACTATTTTGAAAGCATACTCTAAATTATCCTTTTTTATTTTTTATACTGAATAGCACAGATAATTTAATTAACTAAATTTTGGCGCATTTTTAAAATAAAACCCCCTAAAACTTTGCGATATTACATTAAAATCAAAGAAAAGCCGCAAGAACATATTTGTTCCGATAGATGATAAGTTACATTAGCGCAAAAACCAAAGTTTTCTCGTCTGACTTCCCAAAGTTCACGGGGAAAAAAAAGTCAGACGAATTATCGTCTACATGGAAGTATAAAACAATTTTATACTTCCGCGGTTTTACATAGTCACTTCAAACAAGAAGACGTTAATTAAAACAGTTACACATAATTATTTATTTGGTTTATTAGATGATACAGATTTACCATAGGTAAGTGATGCAATTTTATAAGTGAAAGTTAGTTCAAACTAATTTTTTAAAATATACAAAAGTTACTTTTGAGTGCTTTTTATTTTTTTGAGTGCTTTTTACTTTTTGAGTGCTTTTTATTTTTTGTTTGTGTTTAACCCACAAGTCAAATTAAGGGGCTTAGTGTTTTTCGCAAATTCAGGCATAAATTGTTTAAATATTCTTTGTAACAATTGTACAACCAAGAATTTATTAATAGTGATAAAAAACTGGCATTGATTTAATTTTGCTTGATTTCCATTTTGACAAAAAAAATTTCTGAGCTACTTCTGAAAAAAGAAACGTTTTGTTTTACAATAATAAAGCGATTACAGATTAAAAGCTAAGATGATTATAAAAAATTGATCAATTAAAGAATGAAATGCAAGTACGTAAAGAATGTGTTAAAAATATAAAACCTTCTAAACTTTCATAGAGAAATGCTCAACTTGTATGAATTCCTTCTATACTTTGCAATACTAAACTGCCATTCAATGATTGGGAAAACGATCACAATATATATTTAACCAATCATAAACAATATAAAAAATTTATGAATATTATTTTACATTAAAAAAAAGCTTAACATTTACTTGTTTTTTTGTTTGTTCAACAGAAAACCATGTCAATTGACTGTTTAATCCACAGCCACTACTAGCAGCCCACACCTCAATATGTTCAACTTTTGATTCAAAATAACTACAAGTTGTCAAACAATCAATAAATTGTCTTTTGCAAACTGCGACATGTTTCTTTAAACACAAAAGATCAATATTCGTGAGTGCTTTTACAATGGTTTCAGCTTTTGGTCTCACCTCTGAAAAAAAAATTAATAATAATAAAAACAAGTTAAGTATGAAATTCATTAACTTTACCATTTATTATTGAACCTGGATTTTTTTGAAGACAATTCTTTATAAGCTCTTCCATATCAGGCCAAGGCGCTAAACCATGAGAAATTAAGGAGTCAATAGGCTTATTACTTAAAACAGCATCTTCAAACTCTTTCTGACGATTAAAATATCTGAATGGTTTTTTACCATTAGAAACAAGCTCATATATTGTAACACCATAAGATAAAATGTCAGCCTAAAATTAAGTTTCGCATTTAATAAACTGAAAATCTTTCATTAAATAAATCAAGTGTTGAATAAAAATAGTATTAAAAACAAATATACATTTCTTTGAACAAATAAAACATGTCAGTTTGTGAGGTACAATCTCTATATTAAATTATTACAAATTACAGATCCTTAGTACTTGGGGCTGTCATTAGTTTTTTCAACAAATTTTAGCAATATCTACCTCCCCAATCAGAATTAGTTTAAGGAGAAACTTCATTTTTTTTCACTTTTTTTTAAGTAATTAAATTTATTAAAAAATGTAACATTGTTGACGTCAACCTTGTTTGACCTCCCCTCCCAGTCAAAAATTATAAGATCCCTCTTTTCCTTTTTTCATCATTTATGGACAACCATATTAATGTTTGCACCAAATAATCTTAACTTGAATTTTTTTTGAACATTTCAAATTAAAAAGATAAGTGTGTTCAGTTATGTTTTCTTTTACCTCAATGCTATACTCGCTATCTTCGCATCCAACTTCAGGAGCTTGATATGAAGGTGTTCCCATATTAGCAATTAAACCCTGATATGTTTTATGTTGAGATATACCATAGTCAGAAAGTTTAACATTAACAGGTGCCCTTAACGAATACGAAAAAACAATAATGTTTTTTGGTTTCAAATCTCGATATACAATGCTATGTTTGTGAATAAAAGCCAGACCTTCTGCTATCTAAAAAAATTTTTTTTTTGATATTGTTAAATTGTAAAAAAGATATTCTATAATATCAGGTTTTTAATATAAGCAGAAAAATCTCCCACCTGCAAAGCTATCTTATGTGTCAAACTTTTGTTTTTTGAAATATTTTTTGAAGCTATGGAATCTGCTAAGTTTCCTAAAGGACTATATTCAATTAGAAGAGCACGAGGGCGTATACTTACTCCAATAAAGGAAATAATACAAGGATGATGTAGACGCTTTAAAATATCAACTTCTTGTCTCAACATGCGGTTTGGACAGTATCCAGTAGATTCATTAAATACCTAAAACAAGAGTAAAAAATCTTTAATTTTTCTTTCTTTTTGTGTGATCAAAGTGGATCAAAAACAATGTTTTTCAAAAATCTTTTTGTTTTGTGTCAGTGACACAAAACAAAAAGTATAAATATTATAAATGGCTAGGGGCAATATTAAAGGGTGACGGGCTTTTAATTATATAAAGTTAATGTTAGTAATATATTATTTTAAAAATAAAATATATATATATATATATATATATATATATATATATATATATATATATATATATATATATATATATATATATATATATATATATATATATATATATTGTATATTATTAATAATTCAGCTATATTAAAACATTGCAATCCTCAAGTTTTCAAAGATTCGCACCCCCTCCCCCCCCCTCCCTGATTTTATTCCTAGAATCAGAATAAAATGAGGAAAGGGGGCAAAAAACTAATATTAAAATATTTAGTTAACGTTTTTTTTTTCTTTTTTTATTTGTTATTTGGGTGTAACCGTCTTGTCACAGAGTACCACGGAAGTGCATTTAACCAGAAAGTTCACGCCTCCTTCCGTACTGTGAGGCGAAAAAATGTCTTGAGCTCATTTCAAGCCTGGATCTCCTACATATGAAGAAAGCGCTCTAACCACTACGCTACGGCTGCATTAGCAAGGTTAACTTTTTGAAACTTATATAAAATCTCTGTTTATTACTTGCAAATATAAGTTACTGTTTAAAGGTAAGACATTTAAAAGTTGTTTATTTCCAAAAAGAGTTATGATTTCTCTTATAAAAGCAGTTTAACTTTAAATATAGTTAACCTTTTATATGTTAATTGTTTTTGAACGAATCTTACGTAAATGACATTATTTATTAAACAACTTTTTTTTTAAATAATTTAATGAATATTATTTTTTAAATATATATATATATATATTTTTTAATATTTTTTTTTACGTATATATATATTTAGGGTAATATGAACATGACAGGAATCAGTAAATTTTGCGTTAATTTATATGCAGTAATTAGCGGTTATCATCAATTAAAACGCTGTTAAATTTTTTGCTTTGTTAAAATAATATGTTTTTGTTAAAATAATATAATACAAATGCTTTGTTAAAATAATATTATCACGCATGAATTAATCTGTGGCGCGAAATTTTAGTGCTAAATAATTAAATTAATTTATTCATAAAGAAAAAAATGTTAGCTAAAAATCTATTCCATTTTTGTTCAAAAAACAATACATAAAAGCATTTAGTTTTGACTTTATTTAAAGATGCCATTTTTGTGTTATATGAGCATGCTCAATAAGCAGGTCCGTTTTTAGGGGTTGGAAAAACTACAACTTCGTCAATTTAATTTCCGATTCTAAGTTGTCGTAAAAGAATATTCCTGAAAAATTTTTTTAAAAATTCAAAATTTTCTGTCCTCCCTAGGATTTTGAATATTTCATATTTACTACATTTAGAGAATTTCATATTTCGAACATTAAGAGAATTTTTTTTTTTTTAGTTTGCACCGCCGGACCTACGCGGCGTTTTAATCACAGCGCGCAATAATAAATTTTATGAAACTGAGCTGCGTTTGTAACTTTTTTAATTTAAAATGGCAATATAAACACGTTTAAATACTGAAATACTTTTTCAGGACAAACCCACGAAATTGGGACAAGGACAAACCCACGAAATTGGTTGCAGAACTTTGCCTACAAAAGTAGGCAAAGTAAAACTAACATAAAACAAAATAAAGTTACAGTAACAATAGATATTGATGAACTTATAAAAAAAACTTCTACAATTTCTGTTGGAGTACAGACAGGATTATTAGCATTATTTTTAAGATGTGGAAATATCAATGTTAATGAAGTAAAACTTTCAAAGACAAAAGTAGAAAAAATAAGAAAAGATTTATATGTAAGTGAATTAGAGTCAATTAAGGTAAAAATAAAAATAAAATGTAAAAATAGTAATTTAATTTTGCACATTGATACAAAAAAAAGTTACAGCTTTAAATAAAGACTATATTTCTCAAGTAAGCGAACGTCTAGCTATTGCTGTTACAAGTCCAAACTAGGATTTAAATACAAATAGAAAATAACAAGATGAGCTGCTAGGCATAGTTGAATTTCAATCGGGGAAAAGACATGATCAAGAATTGGCATGTTTTGATGTTGTAAAAAAGTTTGGAATTGAAAGCTTTATAATTGAGATTTGTGCTGACACAACAGCATGTAACACTGGTTGTAATAAGGGTTGTATAAGTATTTTGAAAGAACTTTAAATCGACCTCTGTTAAGACTTAAATCGACCTCTGTTAAGACCAGAAAGACATATTTTACTTGCAATAAATGCAATTACTTAAACAGAAGGCAAAGGTCCATCAAAATCCATTTATACGAGATTCAAAGCTAATTGGCTAATGCATTATGAAAATGTTCAAAACAATATTGATCAGTTATCAAAGTTTCCGTGGTGCGAAGTCAGTGGAACTCCATTAGAAGATATGGCTAAAAAAAGTTTATCTTTTTGCAAAAAAGCTTTGGAACTTAATACTTTCCGCAGAAATGATTATAAACATCTGTGTCAATATGTCATAGTTTTTCTGGAAAGAAGGGAGGCAGTTCCTGAATTTATTATACACAAACCAGCTGCTGAACATGAAGCTAGATTTATGGCAGGCGCTTTATACATTTTGGCAATGAAGCTTACTCAACCAATCATAAAGTTTTTAACCCTAATGGAAGAAATAGTATTTTCGAAGGCTGCAATATATGTAGCTTCAGTTCATGCAAAAAACTTTCTTCAATCAAGTCAAATTGTTTCTGCTGCTCATAATGATTTGTATACAGTGAAAGAGATGATAAAAATGAAAGATTTTGATGCTGATATTCCTCAAGCTTTTATTACAAGCTATCTTAGACACAGTTGTTATCTTTCTGAAGAAACGGTTGTCTTTTGTTTATTTGATAAAAGTCTTGACAACAAACCTAAAGGAAAAGTTGCTCAGCAGTTGTTAAAAACAAATTTATCTGAAATCTTTAAACTTAAAAAGTTTAAGCCTTGTTTAAATAAATGAATATTCGGAACTTAATGATTACGTTTATCGAAATTCTTGGCTAGTATTTAAAATAGCTCCTTACTTATCAAAGATGTTAGAAAGTCCACCTGATTTGTGGACTCATGATTCAGATTATAGAAATATGCAAAGGTTTATAAAGAGATAAGTCTGTGTCATTGACTGTTGTGAAAGAGCTATTGAATTTGTAAAAGACCTTATTGATTCAACAATAGAAGAGAAGTTACAAGAACAATAGAAGAGAAGTTACAAGATATTTTACTGGTTTTAAAGGATCACAGAGTTAATTTTCCATTTTAATGTAACTGGTCTAAAGAAATACTTAATAAATTGTAAGAAAAGTTTAACTATTTATAAGAAAAATTTAACTGAATTTTTTATGTATATTATTTACAAAACGCGTTTGTAAAATCTTTAGTCAAATTTTCAACAACTTTTATTTTGTATCTTTATTAAGTACAATATTTGAATTCCTTATAAACAAACTTCTTAAATGCAAATTTTATTAAGTTTTTTAATGAATATTTAAGAGTATTTAGATAAATATACAATTAAAAACATGTTAAAAACCAGGTCTTTAAAAGAAACTAGGTCATATTTTAAACTGTGTTATCTCAAGAAATTTGAAATATTTTGAGCTCAAATTTTATACGAACCTTTCTAATAGTAGAGCCAGCTCACACAAAAATATTATTAGTTTTCATGGTCCTTGATCCAATTAAGCCATTTAACGAATAGTTGGTCAAAAATGGCTTTTTTTCAAATATTTAAACCCTCAGGGAGATCCGGAAAATTGAAATAATTTTAAAATTTTTTTTGAAATTGTCTTGCATATCAACGTAGAATGGGAAAATAAATTGGCAAAGTTATAGTTTTTCTGACCCCTAAAAACGGACCTGCCTAATGCTCAAACTACCTAGTGTTTTACATTGAAATTACCTAGTTTAGAGTTCTAAAATAGCAGTGGTTTTAATTGCTTTTTTAAAGTAGTAAATTTATTATTTTAACAATACTAAATATATTCTGTAACTTAAATTCAAAAAATTTGAATTTTTATTGCTCAAAGCCCAGTGGGAAAAAAGACATCTTTAGACGAATAAAAGGCGTCTTTTTTATGACTTGTTATGTCTTTTTATAATCAGCCTAAATAAAGGCGTGGAAAGACGTCTTTAAAAAAGAGGTCGAAAAGACGTCAGTCGGTTGAACGTCTTTTTAAAGACGTCTTTTATAACGACGATCTTTAAAAAAAAAAAAAATTTTGTTTAAATGACAAATTAAACAACAATCAGTAAGACTTTTTTTTCTTTTAGGGAGGGGTGGGGTAAGTTCACTAACGTTTCCCACTGAGAACAGAATAAACGGTAAAACAAGTGAAAACTTATAAGTTTTCACTTGTTTTACTGTGCGTTCTGTAAAAGAAATATAATTTGCAAACTAATTTACAAAAAACGGGTCAATCAGAACGTAACAAAGACGGGTTATAACCCATAATATCATAATTACGATATTATCGTACGACTGCTTTGCTTAGTACCAACTTAAGTTGTTAAGCAAATTATAATTGTTTATTATATTTATAATTTGTTTCTTAAAATTATAATTTGTTTATCATAATTATAATAAAAAATTATAATTAGCTAATTGCCAATTAAAACGTAGCTAACCCATAATATCGTATATACGATATTTTGGGTTTCAGACCATATTATCGTAATTACGATATTATGGGTTTTAGCCCATAACATCGTAATTACGATATTTAAATGGGTTAAAATTTAATCCATAATTTTTTTATAAATCATAAAATTTATGATGGGTTAAAATTTAACCCATAAATATCGTATTTACAACCATGGTCATAAAAAGTATTCATTCTTATGATTATGTTACAACATTATGGGCTATAATCCGTACCTTATTTATGTTACGTTCTGATTGGCCCGTGTTTTGTACATAAAAACCTTTAAAAAAACTTTATTTATGTTGCTACTATTTTCGTTGTATTATGTTGCATTATGTTTATATTTCGTTGTATTTCGTTGTATTATGTTGGTACTATTTTCGGTAAGAGGCTTTATTTTATAATTTAAGTAATAAAATAATATATTATATAACATATACATAATAAAATGCTTATATATATATATATATATATATATATATATATATATATATATATATATTTATATATATATATATATATATATATATATATATATATATATATATATATATATATATATATATATATATATATATATATATATATATATATATTTAATTTTTTTTAATTTGTTTGGTGAACTAGCTACAAATGAAACTTCGAAGACTAGATATTCTATAATTCTAGACTTTTTATCTAGATGATATATAGATAAATTATGATTAACTAAATAGTTTTATAATTTGTTATCGTTTAATTTAACCGTTTTGATGATAATTAATTTTTTTTTTTTGTTAATAAAAATAATTATTTCTGAGTATAATGTTTTGACCAATATCCTGCTAATATTCTTGACTATCATTCATATGTCATATTTTACTATTAATTTTTTTCAGAAACAGCTGTATTTCCAATTGAACCGACTTCAAAAAAAGGTATCCTTTTTCACATTTTTTTAAATATATATAGATATATTTTATAAACATTGTATTTTTTATTTTAGTTACATCAATAATTATACTTTCGTAAGAATAGTTATAATTTTGCAAGAGCCGTAAATTGCTCCCGTAAACCGTTATAGGGGAGTGTAGGGCGAGAGCGAGAGCGAGTTGCTGCTAAGGATCAACTTAAGCAGTATTTATTTGAGTTATCAAAATGTGTACATTGTCAAGTTTGAACTTCTAAAAAGAGGCGTCTATTAACACACAAAAAACTTGGAAGAAAATTGCTAAATGACTCAAGTTTTAGTGTAGCGTATCTAACCATTTTGCAGCTGTAGGACACGAGGATAGTGCTTTTTTTTTTATTATTATTTTAATTCACCTCCTCAAGGCCGAGAAGGCAACTACAGACGAGGAGGCTACTTATTTGTGGTTATAACCCTCTCTCAACTCTATAACTCCGAAACACGAACCTTGACGAGCAAGGCCGCTGCGCGGAGAAACGAGTTGAGCGCGGTACTACCAGGGACGTGGTGGGGATCGAACTCGGAACCACTCGTTTATGAAGCGAGCGCTCTACCACTACACCACTACCGCATTTATATAAGATGTTTGTTTAAGTTCAACAATGTGAACAATTTAGATTAATCAAATAAGCACTATGTTAAAGGACGCATGTTTTGGGTATAATGATTTTTAGCAGCAAATGATATATCTTAATATTTTTATATTTAAAGTATATTAACATGCTGCATAGAAGTCTTGAAATAAGTAGAAATTGTTTAATAATATTTCTGTTAATAACTTGATCCTTTTCAGTGATAATTTATATCTACATATAATCATATTTAGATCCTTTTGAGAAGCTACGGTTTCCACTAAGCGATGCTAGTAAGGTTATTTTAAGGTCTAGTTTTTTAGATTTTATATTTATTTTTTGACTCTTTTTTTTTCTATTCAAAGAAATTCAATGGAATTCTTATTTAGTTGAACTTTGAAAATGAAAATCTTTTCAAAAGTTATTCCTGTGTAAAATGTGTTGAATAGGTTTCTTATTTTAAATGCTAGAAGGAAACACTATGGAACTTAAAAAAATAAATCAAGGCTTCTTCGAGAATTTTTAATTGCACAAGACTTTTTATCTTATTCGGTTTCAGAGTACCAGAAAAAGAAAACGTTGAAAATTGTCGTTGGCCAACAGAAGAAAAGGATAACCATGCAATAAAAATGATGGCAACGATGGAAGATTTTAGTGCTTTTGAAAGAGAGTTGTTAGACGAACAGAAACGTTCAATCATGGTTTTATTATATTTTTTTTATGTCTAGTTTTTGATATTCAAACAAGATTGAAAAGTTATGCATTTTCCAATATCTTGTGATTTTAGTAATAAAATTTTATAAGTAAGGTGAGAGAACCTCACTATAACCAGAAAGCTGTTTTTAAACATCGTTGCTATAGTATTTATTATTGTGTTATCTTTCAGAGAAAATCTTTACGTCAAGTCCGTGGTTTGGATGCGGAAGACCAAGTAAAAATGATTCTGGAAAGGTACACTTTCTTTTAGCTAAACAACATTGCAGCTTTCTAGTCTTTATTTTTGTTCATGTGTGACTCATCTGTGTTGAATCACACATGAACAAAAATAAGACTCTTTTATATTGACTTCTAATGATATCGACTGTTTTTATAATTTTATGTTGTTAGGTAAAGCATCATTATATTTCACGCTAAAATTGAGCTTTGAACAATAAGTTTATCTAGTTTAAATAAATAACAACTCGCAAGGTGAATTATCTTTTCGTTTTTGATAGTCCTTAGTCAATAACGGATTTTTAAATTGTTATGAGTCTCAACACTTAATTTCAACGAAATTAAATTAAAAAGTTACGTCATAGAAGACAAGAAAAACATCAGCATCTGTTTTTGATAACTTGTCTTTCATTGCAAATCTGAGAGGTGCAAATGCTTAGTTTGCTTCAAGTACTACATAATATAATACATCGTTACTACATAATATAATACATTCATTTTGATAATAATAAATTTCTTTAGCATGCTCATTTATTATATTTTTAGCCTGTGTACCGTTGGACTTCTGTCCCAATTTAACTTAGTCGGGACAAAAACAAAGGACCGCGGTGGAAATAAGAGGGGGTTGAAAGGATAAGCCGTTTTTGAATTAATAGTCGGTAAGTCTAATGTGTTTCACTCAGCTGATAAAATTTCATTTGCTATTTCATATTACAATAAAAGTGACTGTTTTTCATGTTCACTCATTTTTTATAAGTCGCAGCCAGCTCGTATAAAAAGACTTCTCAACGAGGATAGTTAGTTTTGTTCAGAGAAAGCTGAAGAAGGCCCCGGGGGTTGCGTAGGCAACAATGCCAAGAACAGAGGAGAAAGCTCAAGAAACAGAGGAAAAAGAGGAAGGTGAAAATAATGTGGAATTTGGAGATGAATCTGCTGATGACTCTTAATTTATTTAACTTAATTTAGCTTAATTCATTTACTCACTACTTAATAAACTCTTATTTAATTAATATATTCTGCTGAACAATACTGCTGTTTTATTTATAAATAATTCTCCTATGTTTAAACCTATAAAAAATATAGATTGGCGTCGATTTTTTTATATAAATAAAAAAATCGACGCCAAGAAGAAAAAATTTTTCAAATGTGTATAATTTGTTAATTATGATTAACAAGTAAGATTAACGCATTTTTTTATGCCTTATCATGACAAGCTAAAGACAAAAAAGACGTCTTTTCTATGTTGAAAAAAGATGTTTTTTAGATTTGCATAATCGACTAAAAAAAGACGTCTTAAAGTCGCATTTTTCATGTCTTTTTATAACAAAATAAAAACAAAAAAAGACGTCTTTTCGATGTCGAAAAAAGATGTCATTTAGATTTGCAAAATCGACTAAAAAAAGACGCCTTAAAGACATCGTAAATAAGACCTTTAAAGACGTCTTTTCAACGTCTTTTTTACCACTGTGAGGTTTGAGCTAATAAAATTGATAAAGTAACAAACTAACTTTTTTTTTTTTTTAATGCAAAAAACAAGAGTAATGTTTCAACAAAAAATGGCTTAAAATTTGATCTTTTAATGATAAGTTTTGTTAATAAAGAATCATTATATTCCAAAAATTAGTTCTCTATATCAGGTTGGTACTTTTTTTACTTAATTAATGTTATTTTTTTTTAACTAATTTAAAGTGTTTATATTCCCAAGTGGTCTGGGTAATATGAGCACTATTGCTACTTTATTAGAGTTCCTGTGTTTTTAAGAAATAATTTTGGATGCTAAAATATCTAAGTGGTTCATAATTAGGGATCGCTAAAATTGTTTATTTGCAAAAATTTTGAATTCAGCATTATTGTTTTAAATAAAAATTCCAATTTTCGCTGATGATGCTTATATTACCCAAATCTACCCAAATATTTTTTTTAAATAACACTTACTATAATAAGTAAATGAAAACTGCATCATAATGATAAATAACTTTCACGTGTAAAAGTAACTAATTACCCAAGGCAACTTACATAAAAGTAACCCAACGGGCATTTGTTGGTTTAAAATTGGTTTAGATCAAGTTGGTATTTACGTCGATCTAAACGTTTAGGAATCTATGTTAAACGTGTTCTGTATATTTAATTTGCGTTGTAAAGCTTCCGTAGTAAAGCTTCCGTTGTAAAGCTTGCGTTCCGTTGTAAAGCTTGCGTTATAAAGCCTGCGTTGTAGAGCTTTCCGTACGGAACTAACTTAATTAAATTAGTTTTGCACAGAATGTGTCGGACATTTTGAATCTTTCATTATGATTAAAAATTAGAATTTTTTATAAATCTTAAATTATGTAATAAAAAGTTTAGAAAAGATAAAAGAAATTTGTTTTTAGTATTATATTGTGGCTAATGAAGCAACTAAAAAGTCCTGTAAGTTCTTCGATAATATTGTATAAGCAATTAAAAGTTATTTTAAGTACAGTAAGATTTTGATAATTCTTTTTTAAGTTATTGCTACTAAAATGGCAGTTTTAAAAAGTAGCAATTTTAGCATTTTTTTTTAAACTATTTCTTAAATTGTTTTTTCTGTTTGGTTTTTAATAACGCTATAGAACGTTTATAGTTAACTCTTAGCTTCCTAATTTTTCTACTTTTACTAAAAGTAGAGAAATTATGAAAAATAGTTGCCACTTAAAATGCATAAATCTTCTCCAAACGTTTTAGAGAAAAACTATGCATTTTAAGTGGTAACTACTCTTTGAATGACTAAATAAAATTACTATTTTTTGTTTATATTTAATAGTATCAACAGTTTTTCGAGGGGAATGAAAAATAATTTATTCAGTTTTATTGAAATTCAAGGAAATAAGATTATTGTTTAACCAGTTACATAAGCGATGAAGATCTTGACTAACTTTTTCGAAAAGAGTTGTAAGTAAGTTTTTGGTATATAAAAGATTCGTATCATCAGCATAATGATGTACCATTAAATTTTTTAATGAACAAGATAAACCATTTTTATATAATAAAAACAATAACGGTCCAAAAACGGAACCATATTTAATAACTTTATGTGTGAATTCAAATCCATTAATTATAACAATCTTTGAAATTGATAACAAATGTTTTTATATGTTATTAAAACACAAATTTTACAATCATTTATTTCTGATATTACTGTTTTATTTTATTAACGTTCAGCCGTATGCGTGCGCAAAAAAAAAAAAAAAAAAAAAAAGTTGAGGAAGATGAACGTCTTGAAGTCAACACCTTATTCAAATGCTAAACGCGCGTATAAATATTAAAACAATCAATATACTTATTTTAAAAGTTCTTATTCTTTTTTTTATATAAAAAATAAACTTAATTAAAATTAACTAAATTAGTTGCCTCAGGGGTTAAAGTAGAATAGTAAATCAAGTGGAACGGTGTTAAAAAGTTCAAACAGCTTTTCATAAGGATGGGAATTCGGGTCATCAATTCAGCCCATTCGGGTGCGAAACCATTCCGTTAAATTTTTGTGTAGTTGTATTTTTGTTAGATGTACTCTCGTGTGATGAATAATATTATTTAATATTATAGGAACTACTTGATATAATAGGAACTATTTCTTGATTTGTTGGCTAAAGAGGAACGTTGTTCCCCTGTGTTTCCTCCTACTTTAACCCCTGATTTGACTTATTACAAAGCTAATTATTAAATATTGTATTGTCATCAAGCTAGAGTATATGTATGCAAAATTTGAAGAAAATGTATTATCAGGAAGTGACTAAAAAATTGATTGCAATAATTGATACTCACAGACAAACAAACAGAGACGACGAGTTAATAAAAGTATCGGTAAAAAGAGAAAAAATTATTAATTAAGTTAACTATAACAAAGCTTAACTATAAAAATACAAGATAAAAGGAAGATATTACAACCAAAAATTTGAATCAAATAAACACTGGTTATATAAATAAATATAGAATTCTTTATAGCTTTATCCAACTTTTCAAGAAGAAGAAACTCAATGTAAAACATTTATCGAGTTGATTACTTTTTGCATGCTGCTTAAATTTCTTTAAAAATATGTAAGGCTTTCAGAGATTTAAAAGTAGTTGCTAGGGGCAACCCTATAAAAATTTAAGTTCTGAATTTTTACTATTGTGTATTTTTAAGTAAAAACTTAGATATTTTCTGTATCTTTTTTAAATAAAACAAATTATATAGGCTAATTGATTTAAAATTTTTTTCATTTTTTCATCCAAGTACCACGTTAAGAAGCTAGAGTTTCAGTATCATTGAGTGGAGTTACTTTGATACCCGGGGTAACTTTGATAATTTTTTTTAGAGTTTTCAGTATATTTTCTTTAAAATATCTTTGTAATATTATTTTATTACTTTTTTTATTTTCAGTTTCTTTAGTTTAAAATAAATAAACAACAAAATAAATCAAAATCAAAGTAAATAAACATCAAAATAAATAAACATCAAAATAAATAAACATCAAAATAAATAAACATCAAAAGTTTACTAAGATTTCATTAAATTGATTTGAAAGCTAAAAAAAATATTATAGTTGTTAAAAATGAAAAAAGTTTATTAAAAAGTGTATAAAAGTGTAAAAAACGTTTTCAAAACAATAATAAAATACTATGCTATGACAACACAAAGTCAGGTTAGTTCGATTCGATAACCTTCGAACGTTGGTTCTTGGAAATATTTCTTTCTCAAATTGGTAAAGATCATGTAGCAAAAGTCACCATTGGAGACAATCTTGTCTCTCATTTTTCTCTTCCGGTCATTAAGGCCGCCCAAAAAATTAACATTCGTTTCACCTGTTTGGTATCAAATGCAACTTATCTATTTCCAAATCTAATACCAAAACACGTTTTTCTGGGTTATTGTTGCAGTTGCATCAAGGACTGAAAATACAAAACCTGATTTATGTCTTTTCGGCTTGCAGAATATCTTCAATGTTCGGCTTGCAGAATATCTTCAATGTTCGGCTTGCAGAATATCTTCAATGTTCGGCTTGCAGAATATCTTCAATGTTCGGCTTGCAGAATATCTTCAATGTTCGGCTTGCAGAATATCTTCAATGTTCGGCTTGCAGAATATCTTCAATGTTCGGCTTGCAGAATATCTTCAATGTTCGGTTTGCAGAATATCTTCAATTTTCGGCTTGCAGAAATCAGTAAATCTTCAAAAAACAGAGATTAAGTCTTGAAAAGCCTATCAAATGAGAACCGCGATGTTGGCGGTGAAAAGGTTAAAGAATCTTTGGTGCGGTTGTTAAAGGAAATCCTAAAAGATCATTGTAGATTCAATAAACCTTCTAAACAAACACAGGAGATAGGAAAAAAAATAATTCCTGGAATTTCAAAAAAATAATTCCTGGAATTCCAAGAATTAGCATCAAATGATCTCAACGTGAGCAAAGAAATAAAAGAAGGAAAAGGAAAATGGACGCAATAGTGGTACTGGTGCAAAAACAGGTTGTATCCAAAAAATAAACAATCAAATAAAGAAACCGTGTCTTCAACATCATCAGATAATGATTTTGAAATTGAAATGGAACTCTGACTCTTTGGAATCAGCTGATAGAACTGACATTCCATTTGAGCCAAAGCAATGAGTAGTTGTAGCCTACACCGGAAAGAAATCCGTTGTCAATTAAAATGTTCAAGTCTTTGAGATGTTTGAGAGAATACAACCGCTTCATTTAAAATTTTTAAAAAAACATCTAGCGAGTAAGTTCTTCAAATTTACAGAAAGCAAACGCTAAAGAAGGAGGCGTGAACTTCGTGGTTAAATGTACTTCTGCGGTACTCTGTGACAACACCGTTAGGTCTTCTTGGGGCACTTAAATAACAAAAAAAAAAGTTTGATTGAAACAACATTTACTATCAATGTAACCCCGACATGCGGGGTTACATTGATAAGGGCTTAGGCTTTAAAAAAATATATATAAGACAGGTTCTGATATTTCTGAAAAGCATTTTTTTCCTGTTAAGAAGAGATCATTTGGTATATTCAAGCCAAAAACGGCAGTAGTTATTAAAGTTTTATCAGAATTTTTTTTAAAAATCACAAAAACCTATTAAAGTAAAGCCACTCGACGGTAAATACATTTTAATGTTTTGTTGCGCTTTCAGTGTACGCTACCTTAGTGCATTGTATATATTCTGAAACCGATACAGTTAAATAGATTCAGAGATAATTAAAAGTTGTTATTGACTTATAATAATGAAATATATATAAATATAAATATATATATATATATATATATATATATATATATATATATATATATATATATATATATATATATATATATATATATATATATATATATATATATATATATATATATATATATATATATATATAATAATAATAGAGTTTGATTATTTGAAAAAATACAACTTTGTGATGGTACTTGAAGTTTCATGCCCTTCGGCAATCATCAGCCATATTTTATTCTTTTTAAATCAAGAAAAAACCGTTAAAAAATTCAAAATACAAAATTAACAGAAAAAACAATAATCGCAATAGAATGAGTTCTGCAAGCAATAGAATGAGTTCTGACGTCAAAACAAATTTTTAATTGGAAAATTGTTTAATCGGCCGTGTCGAAATGGGCGAGAAGAAACTTGTTTCGATGCCTGCACTTTGATATCATTTCACTTTTTTTGTTAAGTAGATTTTTATTTTTGGAAAACAAAATTTGATATTTTTCATTTATACACAGTTTGCAAGACTTCGTGGTTGGGTTGTAAGCATTGCACTGCTTAATTATTTTCCATTTAATAACTGGATTTAAATTTGCATCTTTCAGTTTCCAAAATTCTTTTGATAGTTCAGTGTCATTTTTGTATTTTAGAATGTTAAATGATTTTATATGGTTGGCATATCTAATTTTGAATGGTGTTTCGCTTATACCGATGTATAGTGTGTTGACAGGAGTGGTAGTAGGATTAGTTGAACTTATTATTGATCTATTTTGTAAACACTTACATTATATTGATCACTCTTAAACGAACAAGAGACTTTTGTATCTTAATTTGGTACAATAAAACAACAATATATATATATATATATATATATATATATATATATATATATATATATATATATATATATATATATATATATATATATATATATATATATATATATAAACTTTATTTTTAATCTTTATTAAACATTGTTTTTAAGTGTGGATACTGTAGAAGCAGGGGGAGGGGAATGAGGGGGAACTGTAGGGGATGCTGTAGAAAAGTGGTTTTAATTTGGTAAACTTTCACAAAGGAAATAATTTTTTTAGTTATTAAACAAGAGGTAAGTAAATTTAACAAATGAAGAATTTGTTAAAACACAATCATGGAAAAATAAATTTATTTATTTTCAAATTTTAGCACTGTTAAATGTTTTGATTTAAATATTATCTTTGACTCCCATGCCAACCGTTTATATAAAAGTTTATATAACTTTAACGAATACAATATAGCTTTAATTTATGTTAAATTGTGACAATGTTGTGAGTGTTAAAATCATAATAATTACACGTTGAATTGAGATAATTACACTGAATAAAAGGTATTAGGAAAATCAATGGGTACTTATTCCCACCCATTATCTAATAAATATTTTTAATACCTATATAAAATTATCAAACTTTATTATTCCACAAGATCATTTTTTTAAATAAAATCACCTCACCAAGGCCGAGGAGGACACTATAGTTGAGGAGGCTACTTTAATTGTAGTTACGTCCACAGCTCTGAGAAACAATTCGAACCCCGGACGTGACTACCAGGGCCAAGATGGGATTAAACTTGGAACTTCTCGCCTATGAATTGAGCGCTCTACCGCTCCACCACTACCGCAATAATACCACTACAACGCTATTGCAATAATACCACTACATCACAGCCGCATTAATACTACTACAACACTTTCGCAATAATACCACTACACCACTGCTGCATCTGTCAAACGTCATATTATAAAATAAGGTTATTTTTTTTAAATAAAGTTATTTTTTTTTTAATTAATATATTAAAAAACTTTTGCAAAACAAGTTTGGCAAATAAAAAAATACTCAAAACTATTTTAATTCCATCCAAAGTTTAACTTACAAACTAGAACATATATTTATAACTTTTACAGTTGTATTAAGATTAAATTATAAGTGTATAACTAAAAAAAAATTAAAATATACCTTTGCAGCAATATCAATTCCATTGATTTTTACTTTATATACAGTTGCAAAAGCGCCAGCTCCTAGCTTATATTTTTTATCCAAAAATTTATTATCCCAATTTGAAAAAACAAGATCACCCAAATCAGCAAATACAGCATCTGGTGCAATAAAGCCAATATCAGAAAATTGATTACATTCGGTGCATTTAATATTATCAGATGTGTATGAGGAGGCTATGCAAATATTCAAATCAAAAGTAAATCTTTTTTCATTAATTTTGCAGTTTTGACAAGGCACAAGTCGCTTTATGGTTCTTTTCTGAGATATATCCATAAGTCCAGGGTACCATTCATCAACTAAGCCATCAATGAGATCAATTATACCTACAAAAAGTTGATAACCTGCAAAAGACCTTTGGCTTCGAACATCCAAGATGTTTAAATTTTTGTTATCACCTGAAACCAGGCAAAATGCGTCTGAACAATCAAGATAAGCACCATTTTGCCAATAATCCGTCTTTAAACTTAACATCAAAAAAATTTTTAAAATTTCGGAATGAATAATCAAAAATTATTAGGTAAAGTAAGAAAAAAAAAAATTGTGATCACTACCTATTAACAATATTAAATCAACAAAAAATTCTTTAACATTTGCAACCTTTTTTTTTTTTTTTTTTTTGAGGAAATTTATCTTACGAGCATGGCCTTTTCTTACTTTTGGTCTCCCGATCTGAAAAAGGATCTTAATAAAATTGAAAAAACATATTGCAGAGCAACCAAGATTATACAATCTGTTATAAAAACTCCTTAAAAATGCGATTATGAAAAAAATGGTGAACTTGATAGCATTGCTGGATTGTGGCTACGACGTGATTTGAACCGGTTATTCAAATTGAATACAATCATGTAATTTTTTATTGGATTCACAGCACGTAAAGCTTAAATATGATCTGAACCTACGTCAACACTTAAATACTTTGAACAAATTGGTTTGTAGAACCATGTAAAATTTTAAATTTTTATTTAATCCATGAACCAGCTTGAGAAATGAAATTATAAAAGCTGACATAATCAACCAATTTAATAAATGTCTAGAATGAATAGTATCGTTAGATCTTACTAATTCTCTAGAGGAAAACTATTTTTCTAAATTTAAAAGTAAACATGTTGAATAAGTTAAGGGGTCGTCCACAAATTAAGTCACGCGATAGGGAGGCGGTAGCAACTTTGTGACAATTTTTTACACGCGATGGGGAGGTATGCAGTTTTGCGACGCAAAAAAATCCAAAAAATCTTTATGAATTAAGGATATAACCAATAAGTCAACGTTGAAAAAATATTTAATAATAATGTAATTATTAAATACAAATAAAAATGTGATAATTATTCAACAACAATAATAGTAAAGAGCCATTGTTTGTAAAATTAAGACAGTTGCGAATATTGAATGCCGACAATTTAGTTTTTTTTCACATATTTGCTTTGTATAATATATGCAATGATAAATTCAAAATATTTTAGTTTGTATATTTGTTGTTCGTCAATAGCGTAGGGAAAAGGTGTCTATGATAGCATACTTAACTTTGAAGATTCATTATAAAGAATCCTGAAGACCAAAAACAAAATTGTTGATATAGGTACATTCCTAGTAACATGTAAAACAATAATACTCATCAAAATTTTTATCAGTTTTACTTTTTTGAAAGTTATTTAAGTTTTTAAAAAAGTACGAGTATGCGATCATAGGCAACCAACTGCTCCTATGATGGCATACTTTTAATAAATTACACAAACAGAGCTTATTTTTTGTTTTTTACCAATAATAATAGAAGTACATTCTTCAAAAATTTATAAACAAAGTTCACATATAAATTTTCTTCGCTTTTTATCTACGCCTGCGCATAAAAAATGACACCAAGAGTTGCATTTTTGGCAGCAAACCCAAGGTTCTTTGGAATAAGACTGTAAATAAAGTTCTTCACAAAATAAACAAGCTGTATCAGATACAAATCAATTTTATTGAGTCTTGCATTATTTGCATCAGTGTAGCCTTTTTTTTCAAGTAACATTTTTCTTTTACTTTTTCTAACAGTTTTTTCTTTTTCAACTATACTCGTTCGTTTTTCCTTATTATCATTTTTTATTGCTTTATCTTTTAATTCTTGGATGTTTGGACTAGAATTGAGATGCCCAATTTTCCCACGTTTTCTTGTGCGCTTAAATTCAGTTTTAGGAGTTGCTAAAGGGAGACAACTTTTGTATACCATATTTCAGTTTTTGTCTTGACACAGAAGTTTCAACGCTGCCAGACACATCTGATGCAGGAGAGCTTACATCTAAATATGTTGATTTCTTAGGTTCTTGTATTTTATCTCATGCAGGAGAGCTTACTTCTGTATGTTCTGAACTCTCAAGTTCTTGCGTTTTTCCTAATGTGTAAGAACTTATTTCGAAATGAGTTGATTTCTCAAGTTCTTGTGTTAAATCTAATGTTGGTGAACTTATTTCAAAATTAGTTGATTTCTCAAATTCTTGCCTTAAATTTAATGTGGAAGAGCTTATTTCAAAATGTGATGCTTTATGAAGTTCTTGTGTTTTTTCATTGTTCTTAAATATCTCAACTTGTTCTGTTGTTAATGAAAGTGCAAACATCCAGTCTTCAAAAATATTGGGGTTGAAAGAATATATTCCAGTTTGGGCAAAAGCATGCACAGCGTTTGCTGAAGTTGGACTTTTTAAATATGCATTGTTTAAAAGTCCGGGAACCTGGAAATGTGTCACAACTCTACCGGGATGTTGTCTTAGCCATGTCTGAATCTCTTGATCATTATATATATATATATATATATATATATATATATATATAGATATATATATATATATATATATATATATATATATATATATATATATATATATATATATATATATATATATATATATATATATATATATATATATATATATATATATATATATATATATATATATATATATATATAGATATATGTATATATATATATATATATATATATATATATATATATATATATATATATATATATATATATATATATATATATATATAACTCGTAATATGCAACTCGTAAATATGCCAACATAGGAAAAAGATACCATTTTCACTTAAACTAGGTGTGCCTGCCTTGTTCAAAAGAAACAATTAAAGTAAATATTCTAATTAATCCACAAAAGATGAAAAATGAAATGCAAAACAATTTTTTTTTTTTTTTACGTTTAATATTAAAATCATAATCTTAAATATATAAAATGATTAAAACTACTTCATCATATCCCAAAAATAATTTCTGTTAATTATGAAAAAAATATTTGTGCAAAAGTTACAAATTTTCATATAAATTATTCTAAAGCCAAAATAAAAAAATAGATCTAATCAGTTTTTCACTATAACCAATATATATGGAAATATGACCAGTATGTCATCGTAAGCGCTATACCATCATAGGCATCTTTGCCCTACTTTAAAAATCGTATTAATTTCTGTCAATTTACTTATGTTGCATTACGTCATGCTTTAAGAAACTATAATTGGAATATTATTTTTACAAATTTTTGTTAACTTATTTATAACTGCCACAAGTTATATTTTAAGAAAGTTTTTTTAACTTATTTATAACAGCGAGCCACAAGTTTCATTAGAAGAAAAAAAAGTTTAAAAAAAATGTTGTTAGTTGTCTACAAATCATAGCCTAAAAGTACAAAAAATGTGGAAAAGTAGGAACTTTAAGTAGCCGTAACTCTTAAAGCCAACATAGCAACATTTATATTTTTTTCACCCGATGATAGTTGTGAGTTTAACTTTAATTAAAAAAATAAAATTGCACTCGTTTGCATTGACACCTCAAAAAAATCAGCTATGAGAAACCGTTTTTAGAAAAAACTGTATCGCCTTTAGACTGCTATAAAAATGAAGCCAAAAGATTTGAAAAAAATATTAACGGGAAATATGTTCATAAAACTGTAAACATATACAAATAAAAGTATGTGAGATCTTAACTTATTAAGGAAGTTAAAATTACTAATCTTATTGAGGAAATTATTTTATAAATTAATTATCCTTAACATTATCGTATAGATGGAACTCCAAATTTACTAGGTAAATGCTTTGACAAAAATTAATGATATCTACGTTAATTTATTTTTGATTGGCTTCAAAACAATTCATTTCCTTGGTGTATTGTAATTGAGAATATTATTTTAAAAATGAATGTCTAATTACATTACCATGGCCCTGCGTTACCATGGCCCTGCAGATCGTTCATCAAAACATAAATAAATTAGCTTGAAGAATACCAAAAAAATAAACATATCGCAAATAAGTAAACTTTATCTGCTATCACACTTTCTTTTCTGGATAATTATTGGTAAAAAAAAATTAGGATTTACTATTTCATTTACGATTGTTTTAGATATTTTTAATTTTATAAATTAAATAATGGATTGTGAAGAATGCACTTGGAATCAATAATGTTTTTGCAATCAATATAGGTGGTACCGGGATGTAATCGATCGATTATTAACAATTGAGCAATTAGATAGAGATGTGCCAAAGCACTTTTAAAATTTAAAACTGCATGTAAAAAATTATGAATGGAATAATCTGAAATAATTAAAAATCTGAAAATAATTAAAAATTGATTAATCTGAAAATAATTAAAAATAATAATCTAAAAATAATTAAAAATGAAAAATTTAAATAAAGCTGAAATATTTTGGCTTCATCAATGGTTCACCAATAGTATCAGATGAAAAGCGTCTAAAATAATTGAGCATCCTAATCATGATCAATTAAAAAAAGGAAAAGCACCGACTGCATAATAAGTTCCAATAGCAAGTTGACATCAATATTCACAATTAAAAAAATAAATCTTCCCATTGCCACTATTATAAGTCATTCCCATTAAAACGAAGTGCGAAACTACAACAAACGCACTCCTCATCTACCAAAACAAAATCAAGATTTTGATGGTTTTCTTTCAGGAATTTAGACCAAAAGAGATGGTTGTTCATGAAAATGCTGTAAACTAAAGTAGTGAATCCAGTGTGATGTTATACCAATGGTTATATTTAAGCCCAATGCGAATTCAAACTAATAAAACACCAGTAGATATGCTCGGCGAAAACACTAAGAAATACCTAAAGCGAAAACATCAACAATATTTAAAAATGTCAGAAAAAGATTTGCAGTTTAACTTTGATGCTAGAAAATTTTACATTTTCATTTTAACATTCTTCGCATGATATGTTTCGATTGAAAGGATGAGGAAGTCGTTAAGATAATCATGTCCCTTGGAAGCTCTTAGAGAGCTCTAGACGAGAATTAACTTTCTAAAGTAGCCTTCAGCCACAGATACTGGAAAATTAAGGAAGATAGAAAGACAGGTGCATATCTAAGGGAAATTTCCTTCAAACCCCTTAACATAAATGCTAATTAAAAGATCTGAGGGCTGATAATTTGTCAGTAGATGGCGTCGAACAAACAAAAAGTGAGGG